AAGAACCTAGTTTCTTTAACACTTCAGTCTGAGTCATCAGATCCAGGCATTCAGGAGTGAAGTCACATTCCCCTGCGCGCCCTCCCCCCCCAATGACAAGATAAAAAGCTAAAGAATATAATTTCTCATTTGCCTTCTGGCTTTTGAACGTAAAGAGGATATTTTGCAAGCTTTTCTCTAAAACCACGAGGCTAAAAAGGCTATTTCTAAATGAAAATTGAGATTCTCGGGTAACCATATGCCTTGGGGAATATAGAGTTTTTGGAGGAAGTACGAATACTGTGAAATAAGTTCTCATATTGAATGGCTGAGAACAGACTCCGTCTAGTGTGTTGTGCTTCCAAGAGTGGATGGCAAATGGCTTGGTAAAAGTGTTTTTTTTTTTTTTAAAGTATGCAGTAAGTTGTTGCCTGAATAATTGCTTTATCTTCAGTAATTTGAGATTCAGGGACTTGAGCTGGGTTTTCTGCCTTTGTATTTAATAGACCTTCATGGTGGTTTTTCTCTATTAAGCAGTATTTTTTGTCTTTGAAATCTAAACCTAGGAATGAATTAAACCCCTCTTGGAGATGCTTTTAATTTTCCTTTTGTGAACTTTCTCTTGTGCAGTGATCCACAGGTATTGCAGCTATATGACTAGCCAAGGCTGCTCTCTCTTCCTGTTGGTCTGCTTATCTGTTCATTAGGATCTGAAGCCCTGAGCTGGGAGTAGGTAGGGTGTCTTTGTTTGAAGGACAGTCTCCTAATGCAAATACTAAAGAGCTTTCTGGTTTGCCTGAGTCAGACTGACAAGCTAATAACAGCATTCATGTTAGTCTTGGCTAACAGAGCATCAATATAAAAAGCTTTCAGAGGATTGGTGTATCAGTCAAATGGTAAAATATAATAGACTTTTGTTTTGCTTGTTTTAACACTTAAAATCCCATTAAGAAATATTTTCTGAAAGCAAAGAGCATAGGAATAAAAATGGAGTGCTCTTTCAAATGTACCGTTGCATCCACTGAAGGCTTCATTTCAGACTTAGTAAGGGACGAAATGTCTTCTGTTCAGTAGAGAGCCATCATACGAAATTGTTTTCAATAATTATACTGTTGTTCAAGAAACTGTTCTTAAGTTTATAGGTGATGTATCAGAGTGAGTCAGATGGCTAAAAATTGGTGTGTTGAGTGGTGGTGAGTGTTGTGAAGATAGCTAACTGTTGGTGAGGGAGTGTTTTATTTGCTAGGTTTGCCAGCAGAGGATTACAAGTTATACAATTGCTGCAATTTAATTATAATGTAGCAGAGGTTTTGATATCTGCCTTTAAATTATCCCAAGGGCATCTAGGAGGAATGGCTTACTCTGAATAAATCTTAATAAACACATGACTTTATGCTGCTGCCTTGCTTTGTTCTCTGCAAGTGCTATTTGTTCCTATTAACTATTATTGTAGAAGTCAATGCAGCTATTCCTGGAAACATGGCAAAAAAATCACGAGTAAGAATTTCTAGGATGGGCTCAGTATGTCATTACAACAACTGTCAAATTCTTCCTTTTATTTATAGAAGAGCAGTGCAGATGAATGTACCTTTATCTGGAAAGTTTTAGGCAATTCTAATAAAAGGAGATATGCATGAATTATCAGTACGTGATGTTCTATGCACTGGAGGGAGAGTCATTTAAAAAGCCTGCTAAGTGAGGCATGGTTGCTAAGTAAGGCGAAGATTTTACTAGACCAACTAACGTGAAGGGGGAATAGACAAGGTTTTGGGCGTACAAAGACTTTTTTGGTTCTGAAACACAAATGGTAGATTTTGAGCTAAGAATAGATTGAGAACAATTGCTGTGAACTTGAATTACCTCACCTTTTAATACATTTAATTGAAGTGGAAATGGTAGCTGGAACACATGTAAGAGGTTGTTAGTAATGGAGATGATACTGGAGCATGGAGGTAGGATGGTTTCTGGAGGAGAGCAAGACAATCGGATGCCTACGTTGCTACTGGCTTCTGCCTTCCTTTGCAGTGTTGGCAGCTGCAGCTAGGGTGAACCCGAAGAATGTGAAATACAGAGCAATATGGCAAATGTAA